GGGAAAGTTGAGGGGGTTCCCTTCTTTTGGTTTCTGTTCCCTCTGTGAAGTAAGAGGTGCGTCATCTCCTGGGAGGGGGATTTGCTCTGAGGTAGGGGACTTACAGTTGGGAAAGTTTGGGCTCACTTCCACGGCACATACACAAAAATTGGAATAATGGAGAAGGTTAGTGTGGCCCCCCGACAAGGACCACAGGCAAATCTGTGACATGTTCCATATACAAAAAGGTTAAAAAGTTAGAAATTCCCCATGTGTGGTTTGAGGGATGGTCAACATGGAAACACAGAAGTGTGGATGGGAATCCAGTCAAGCTCGGGCACATCGCTGTTGACATTGACCTTGGTCACCTGGCTGAGGTGGCATGTGTCAGGTTTCTCCTCTGTAAAGGTACCGCCCCCTGCTCCCCGACCTCTGCCTTTCCATATTCTCCTCTTTGGATGGAAGTCACTGTGCCCAGCCCGCAGTTTAGGGAGTGTTATGTTGCCCCTCCTGGAAAGTGGAATGTCTGCATAAATTATTGGGAATTTTTCTGCTGGGAGATTTGTCTTTTCCTCAAGGCACTTTTACACACACTATTGTATGTGATTTTCACAGTTGTGGGTTAATATTATCTCCCATTTTCAGATGTGGAAACAGAGACTCAGCAAAGTTGACTCACCTTCCCAGGGTCACCTAGAAGTTAAGCTGCAGGCTGGGACTTGGGCGTTTTCAGAGCCAGCTCCCTTAAGTGCTAAGTTGTCTGCACCCTCATTTAATCACCCCACTGAACGTATTTTATCCAGAACTCACTTATTTCCTGGGTTGCTTGTGCCCTTCTCTCAGGCAGGGTAGGGCTCATGGAGGGTGTGTACTCGGAGTCTTGGGGAGCCCACCCTTTAAATGGGCTTTCTCTGAGGATAGCAGGAGCCATATCCTACTTCATAAGGTCTAAGTTGGACTAGCTTCAAACTAGATTTCTGTATGGTGCATGTTTGGGTTCTATAATGCAAGGAAGGCTGTGTGTTTTATGTTCTCTCTCATCTGTTAACTGTCTCTCATGTATTGTCTATTATCTGTCTATCTGTCTATCCATCCATCCATCCACCCATTCATCCATCCATCCACCCATCCATCCATCCACCCACCCACCCATTCATCCATCCATCCATCCATCCATCCATCCACCCACCCACCCACCCACCCATCCACCCATCCATCCATCCACCCACCCACCCACCCACCCATCCATCCATCCATCCATCCATCCATCCATCCATCCATCCTACCTATCTTACTAAAGAAAAGGAAACACCCTTTGGTTAATTGTCATGGTTTTTAAGAAGTGTTGAAAGACAAAAGGAGGCATATTAAAAACATTGAGTTTATTTGAGCAAAAACCAGTTCAAATCTAGCGGATAGAAAAGAGGTCTATCAAGCTGTGCAAAATGAACACCTTTTATAAGGAGAAGGAGCAGGAACGAGGAAGTTAATCTGCTGGGCAGCCGCGTCTGGGGAGGGCTGTCCCTGAGCACCGGTGAAGCATGAAGAGACCTCAGCCTGGACAGGGGAGGGTTCTTGACTCTGAACCAGAAAGAATTCTCGAGCAGGTCAGATGAGTGCAGGTAAGGAAGGAATTCATTAGAGCCAGAGCAGCAGGGAATGGCGGCTGCCGCGCAGGCAGCAGAGAGCAATGAGGTGCAGAGGGAAAGACGGAAAGTTCCTGAACTCCTTCTCGGCCTAGGGCAGATTCCCTTGCCAGCTCCTAAAGCCAGGGTCACCTGACATCATCCCATGTCCACTTGGATCTGCACGGCATGGAGAGTAGCCCCTACCACCTCAGGATTTGGGGGAGCCACGGAGTGTGGGATGGAGTGAGATTATGTTCTGAGAACTTTCCAGAGAAAGGAGATTTTCAGGCAGGCCCCTAAGAGCAGATCGCACAGCTGCAGTGCTGTCCAGGGTGACGGGAACTTGCAGGCCCAAATCAGAGCTCTCAGCAGCCCTTCCCTACTTATCAGGAGTAAAGCGAAGACAAGTGAAGACTCAGGAATAGAAATGAAATAACAAAGAGACAGAACACAGTAATTTTGAGCAGTGAGAAAACTTTATTTAAAAGTATGCACTTAAAGGGGAGTGTGGACAACCTCAGAGAGGAGGCATGCTAAAGGGCTTAGGATTCTGTCTTTTAAGGCTTTCAAGAATGCGGCAAAGGGCTGCAGGTGGAGGGGGTGTAGGCCTGACATGCAGTCTCATGATGTCTCTCCAGTGAAGGACACTCTGTCCTCCCCCACAGTCAGCCCTCCAGATAATTCTGTAGGATAAACTTAACACAAGGATTTGTAGATCCTGTGCCTCTCCAAGATAGCAGTTGCCCTCAAGCACTGGGGGCATATTATTGAGGACTACTTGCTCTGCCCTAAGATAGGTTGTGGGCTGATTACTGAAGAATATGTTAGGAATCTTACTTCTCAACTCTTCTGCTTTTTAAAATGGAATCTTGGCTTTAATATGGAATCTCTCCTGTTCTTACTAAGCCATTTGTATCTCGACTTTTTTGGAAAGTTGATCATGATGCTTGTCCCATGTCACCGCCCCACTTCAGTTATATGAAGCAAAAGAGGGAGTTGGTTATTAGAGGTTCCTTTAGGGGATGGCAAGGGCCCACCAGGCAGGTTATCTCACTAGTGCCCATCATGGCATTCCCGATGGACTGGTTTAAGATTCCTTTTCTGGGAAACCAGAAACTGTAAGTCTGGGGCTTAGCATTTGTGATTCCATTTTGGGCCTGTTGTCTTCTTTTTAACAGAAGAAAGGTCACTATCTATACATCCTTGGAAGCTTCAGTTCCACCCTTGATTTCATTGACTGAGATAATCTGCACCATACTAGGTATTAATCTGCCATCCTGGGAAAGCCAGTTGGAGCTGGGAGTGATTTCCTGCGTCAGTAAAAACTCAGGCCTGCAGTCAGAAGGAGTTGACTGCCTGTTGGTTTTTCTGAGCTCAACTTAATATGCGGAACAGATCTGTATATGGGTCATTTGCTTTGTGGATTTCCACTTTTTCCTCTTCCTGCCTGTTCAAAGTCTTCAGGACATGTCAGTGCAAAGGATATCCTGCTGAAAACTGCAACAGAAACAAATGGCTCTAAACGAATTGCAATTTGTTTCACTAGGACCCTGGCTAAATCCAACTGACAGGTGTCTCAAAGCATTTAGATAGAGGACAAACCTAAGGAGATCAAAGGATCCCACCTCTCCACCTTCATTTTAAAGGTGTGAAACTGCTTTGGCCACCAGTTCACTAGCATTACTCCCCTCTGACCCCCATGTAAATGACATGGACGGCGAGTCAAAAAGCATCCGGTGTTGGCTGCAACCTGTGAGTTGCAGGGGGTGGTGGCAGGGACAGGCCAGCATGCTGTGCTCCTCTCTCTCAGCAAGCTTCATGTTTTACCTTGTAATGTTTGCGGTGAGTTCTGTATTTAGCAGACAACAATGCTTGTAAAAGAGTCCGCCCTCTTGTTTGTTGAGGGTGGGCAGCCATGAGGCCTGGCACAGGGTCCCAAAGGAACGTGTGTGTGGCAGGGGTGAGTGGGGAATTGAGGAGAGCTGGGTCTCCGGTGTAACAGTGGAGGCCGGCACCCAGCAACTCAGCTGGGCCAAGGAGGACGACTTCCCACACTGTTCACGCTCTCGAGGGTATCTTAGCCAGCATCAACGGGGGGCAAGATGGAGATGGCCGCTGAGGAACGCCTGCAGTGCAGGGGCCCAGGTGAAGGCAGGCAGGGCAGGAGGCCATTTTCTGCCTCAGTGTGGTTGGTCTTGAAACAGTGAAGACTGAGCCTCCAGTGCAGTGGTTGTCAACAGGGTGATTTTGCTCACAGGGAATATTTGGCAATGTCTGGACACATTCTGGGATGTCATGCCTGGCAGGAAGAGGCGTGTGGCCACTCCTGGCTTCAGTGGGTAGGGAGCTGGGATGCTGGTAGCCATCCTGCAGTGCACAGCACGGCCCCACACAAAGATAATCCAGCCCCCACAGTCAGTAAGGGCTGAGGTTGGGGCTCTGCTCTAGGGGCTGAAGTCAGGAGGTTGGCATGGACCTAAGAATGGCAGACAGTGGGGATCGGCAGCATGGACGTCTGGCCCAAGGACGAACGTGCCTGCATGGCGCAGGTAGTCCTGTGTGAGGAACACTCCCACTCCGTTTGACTTTCTGTGGGTGGGCCTGGAGGATCCTGGGAAGTGGCCTTTAACATAATGCTCTCCTTACTCGCCCCTAAGAGCCCATGGGCTTTTTTAAGAACCTCCCTGGGAATGAGCAGAAAATCAGGTCCTTTTTGGCAGTGCAAGGAGATGAAAGGGAGAAATCTGTATTCGCAAGTAAATATTCTCACCTGTTTAGGTTTGTGGCTGATGGGCACGCTGACAACACTCCCCAGGTTCCCTGCCTCCTCTGTGTGTGTGTGTGTGTGTGGTGTAAGAGAGACACACACACACACAGCACTTCTAAGCAGTAACAGAGGGTGGCAGTGTGAACTGGCATGATGGCAGGATGCCCTCCCAGAAGCTCAGGAGCCCTGGGAAATGGCTCTGAAGTTCATTTTCGATTTTGCATCTATTTACATCGGTGTCTCTTGCTGGGAGCTGACAGCATCCAGGCTGTTCCCCCGGCCAGCCGGCGGCTGCATGAGGCTAGCTCAGCGTTTCCATGTGCCAAGCCCGCAGTATCCCAGCTCCCTACGGCCCTCCTTACTAGCTTGACAGGACAGCTGAGCTCCCAAGGGGGTGGGCCGAGAGAGCAATGGACCAGAAACAGTGTCTTCCTATCTCCTGGACTCCAGGAGAATGAGGGGCAAACCCTGCCTGCTCCTCACCCCCCGCCGAGATGGGCAGGCCCCAGAGGTCAACCGTGTGATACTTCTCAATGTCTCCGTCTGTTTCCTTCTCCCTCAAGGCCTTGCTGGATGTGCCCTCTTGGGGGCATGTGGTCAATACATGTGTGCGATTCTCTTTGCAGGGCACGCCACCATCACCAACTACTTGTTGAACTACTTCCCTGGTCTTGACCTTGAAAGGAGGAACATATTCGGGTTCACGGCCCTGATGAAAGCTGCCATGCAGGGCCGGACAGAGTGCATCCGGGCCCTGATGCTAGCAGGTACGTCTCTCCCTGTCCTGTGTGGGCCTTAGAGAACACGCAGAGGTGGATCGGTCCGTGCAAACAAAGCCTGGTGGATGCAAGAAATGATAGTTTCTTTGAGATGTCCGGCTATCATCACCCAAGGTGAAATACACAGGATCAGAAGCAAACAACACCTCAGGGTGGGGTGAGAGGTCACAGCACAGCTCCCCCTCCCCCGTAGGACACCCCTCCTTGCTCCCGGATGAGTAACATCTTCTTTCACAGCGCCTGAGGATGAAATATAACAATACTTTGTAATACTCACAAGGCTATGCAAATTTAATGAACTACTAAGCTAAACCTCCCGTGCTACTGATCTCCAGTTCTTTTTCCTCTGGAATGGAATCTGTGATCATCTTTAGGACAGCCCAAATCAAATTATTTTGAGAATTAAGTGAGAAAATGTGTGTAAAGCACATACTCGGTCAGTCACCGAGTTAGCATCTACTCAGTCAGTGTGAGGTGCTGCATCACCATTACTTTTCTTTATTTTGTTTTGGTTCTTGGCACTGGGTTCTGCACATGCCGCTTGGTTCTGAGTTCCTGGAGGTGGCATTTGCCTCCCACCTTTGTTACCCTGGGGATAGCAACTGCATTCTTCCAGGCATCAGCCTAGGCTGGTAGTTCTGTTTAGACAGTTTGCTCTTTTTTTTTAAAAATAAATTTTTATTTTGGAATAATTTCAAGTGTGTGGAGAAGGAAAGACAGTACAGAGCGTCCCCATGGCCCTCCTTCGTCCTCCGTGTGGTCACAACTTCCCAAGAGGCCAGCATGGGACCTTACTGTTAACTGAACTCCAGACTACTCAGACTTCACCAGTTTTTCATTAATGTCCCCTCTCTGTCCCAGGGTCCTAGCCAGGCTCCCACACTTCACTGTCAATTGTCCCCAGTCTCTGCTGGCTGTGACAGCTTCTCGGCCTTATTTCCAGTGGGGGACCACACGGTCTCTATCCTGGCCAGTGTACAGGGACCTCCAGTCTGAGCCCGTCTGTCTTTCTCATGCTTAGATGGGGACTCAGGAATCACAGCTGGCTTTAGATTTTTTTCCCTCCTGCTTTAACCTCAGTGTTTTAGGGGATGCTGTTCGAAAATAAATTCAGTAAGTGAAGACAGAGGCTTTGAAAATGAAAATCTTCTTGGAGATAAAAAAGATCATAATTAAAGTTAATCCCATTGGTTGTGCTTGGACTCAGTGATAGTCATTTTTTCAAAGGTGAGATAATCAGTTTCAGCCAAGTTTAGGTCCTGCCTGTCCTGTGTCAATGAGAGGTGGTTCCTCCTAATTAAATGGTGGTTGTGATGCTTTTGTGTCTGGGGGAAGTTTCATCTGCTCTTGCTACTTCCGGATCTAGTTGTGAGAGCAGACCTTTAGTAATTTACTTTTCAACCAATAGTTCATGGTGCTGGTCACATCCATGCATTATCCCCAGTGAATTAATTTGAATTATAAACCCTTTTGTTTTTAGGTCAGTTGAGCTCCAGTGACTGGAAAATGCACATTTCACTGTCATTCTCTGTCTGGCAGGGGTTTCTGGCCCCAGCTACAGCTCTCACAGGGCTCCGGACACAGCCTTCAGGTCTCTTGAGAGAGGGCTCTGTTTGAGGGGCGCACGGTCAGCCCTAGCGGGGGTTTCCCCCTCTGTTATTTGAGTAACGAATCTGGTGTGGGGTATTATGTACCCTCCCTTTCCTGTTCCCTTCTCCCTGTGCCCTGCCCCATCAAAGTCTAGCATAATCCGCATGAGTGCCTCCAACCCTGAGCTGTACAGGGTCAGCAGAACTATCTCGGAAGCCAGGACTCTGGCTTCAGATTCTAGCCTCCAGACTAACCTCTCTGCCTGTACCTGGGCCATTCACCCAACGCTCCAGGTCCCAGTTTCCTCCTCTCTGACATGAGGTGGACAGCAGCAGCCCAGCAGGAGCTCGTGATGGAGGCTGAATGAGTTCCCACAGGCAAAGCCCTTGGTTGCATGCTTGGCATGGAGGAAGTCCTCAATCATTTGGCTATTATTATTGTTGGTGAATCTCTGTGCTCAATAATTATTTGTTAAGTGAATGAGAGACTGGTATATTTTTCCCTCGGAAAAAAAATCCTTGTGATGAGATACTTAAATTTCCTATTGAGGATAATGAGTATGTGACCCAGGGCTTCTGAATCTTGGCGCTGTTGACAGTCGGTGCTAGATCACTGGGCGGGCGGGGGGTTGGGGGGCAGCGGCCCTGGGGGTTCTAGGATGTTTAGCAGAATCCCTGGCCTCTCTCCACTAGGTGACTGTACAGCACCGCCTGGTTTCTGACAACCAAAAATGCCCCCAGACTTTGCCAGATGTCCCCTGGGGGATAAAGTCACCTTCTGTTGAAAATCACTGATGTAAATAATTTAAATGAAAAAGGATGGAAAAAGTGGAAAAGAGAATCTTTTCCCTTTGACATACATTTCTCCTGCCAGATTGTTCTAGATTCCTTCTTAAAATAAAAATCAAAAAGAAAGGGGGCATTACGATTAGCATGTATAATGTGGGGGGTGGGGCACGGGGAGGGCTGTGCAATACAGAGAAGACTAGTAGTGATTCTATAGCATCTTACTATGCTGATGGACAGTGACTTTAATGGGGTTTGTAGGGGGGACTTGATGAAGGGGAGACCCTAGTAAACATAATGTTCTTAATGTAATTGTAGATTAATGATAACAACAACAACAAATCAGACAGCATTTTTAGGGATTTTTGAACTGCCTCTAGGGCTTTGGTTGTTGAACTTCTAGGATATTTTCATTTTCTATGATTACTACTAAGTTAGCTTATTCTCCCCCACTCCCAGGAAAGTGGGTTACATTTTCCTTCTGTGTGTATGTCTTAAAAGAAAAAAAAAGTGATTGAATGTCTCCTCTGGTGGATAACAGGGTTCTTGTTGAGATACTTAAAAAAATTTGCACAAGTGTCTTATTTCCCTTAATATGTGTCAATATTAAGAAAAATTCAAGTCTTTAAAGCTTCTAATACTGAGTATTTCCTTGGATTGACTCTCCAGCAGAGAGTGCATTTACCGGCGGCTGTGGGAAGTACCTTGAGAGCTAAGCACAGCACGGTCATCCTCTGATGATTTAAGAATGAGGCACACACGCTACTTACTGATGGGTAGGGTAAAGGTGTGTGGCTTGCTCTCATTTTTTCAAGTGCAGTAACCTTCTCATGCTCAGTGTATGTCTTCATCTGAGTCGAATTTCCAAGTTGCCATTTCACACTATTCAACAGGAGCCATTTCCTTCCACAAATGATGAACCATTGAATTGGGTGCCCACCTAAACTTGTTTAGATTTTCTAGTAGTTCATAACATACAGAGACATACCAGCTTTTATCTTACCTTGTTAGGCATAACGAAATAATATTTGAATTATCAGAACTTTGGATTTTAATAAAAATATAACCAGATTCTGAAAAGCTGATTTATTGGCTCTTTAATTTTTGGCTTCCCAAGGAATAAAGTCTGCTCTGCTGATGAGCATCGCAAGTGGAGCTTCAGAACTTTGTTAATTCAGAGGAATATTAATGCCCCAAAGTGACAGGTCTATTTAAATAAGTGGCTCTGAGAAGCCTTATCAAGGATGTGATGTTCTCTTAACAGAAGCAGAGCTTGGTGGCGGTTGCCAGGTACCAGACTTGCTTAAGAGAACTGGCTGTTGTGCCTGGAGTGCAGGGGAACTGCTGCCGTGTGGGGGAAGCCAGCACAGGCAAACACAAGCCTTGACTCTTGCTGTGGCTACAGGCAGCAAAGCAGACCTAAAAGGAGGGGTAGGGGCTCGTTTACAGAGGAGTGGAGATCAGAGGCACCCCTGCTGTTGATCCTGCTGTCATCTGTTTCCTGGGCAAGCCCTGATTATAGGCTTCTGGGAAACCCAGATGATACCCTGTCACTACAGAGGGTTCCTTCTGTTCATAAGGAAAACAAATACCCCATGACCTGAGAATTTGCCAAGTTGAAATAGTTTCAAGGTATTAGGCAGAGAAAGGGCTAAAAGCGAGGCATTCCCTATCACCTAGGGCAGTGTCATAGCTGGGGCACCCACAAAAGCAAACCCCAAGCCCAGGACTTGGGGCTAGTTTTTCTGGAAGGGAAGAGAAACCCAGGAGATGGGAAAGCTAATGAATGTGTGCAAAGGAGCTCGTTAAGCCTTGTGGGCTTGGAGTCAGCCCTGCTGAGACCCTGTGAGAGACGGAGGCCAGGACATCTCAGAAATGCCTTGGGGGATGGAGGCAGGGGTCCTGACCCCCACCCCCATCAGGGGCTCTCCTTTGACCCTACCTCCTGATTTACCACTGTGATTATACCTCAGGTGCCCAAGATACAGGCCAGAGGTGGCTCAAGAGGAGGCCTGCTTCGTGTGGTGCCCTGTGACTGGGAAGGCTTCCAGGGGCTGGTGGGGGGTGGCTGGAGCTGGGCTTCAGCGGGTGGATAAGATGGGGTGGGGGGCTGGCAGAGAGACAGGAAAGGAAGTGGTGCACCCCGGGCTCCTGCGGTCCCCTGGACCTGGCTGTGACTCAAGGGTGGGGGGAATGCTTCCTGCACATGAGTGAAGGAAGGTAGGTAGAGTCTGTTAGCACCTGTTTGGCATGCTTTCTGCTTCCAAGCACAAAAACCCTAACTTGACAGTGGCTTAAAGAAAACAAGCATTTATTTTCTCACCCCACTGGAAGTCTTAGGTAGACTGTGCAGTACCGGCCCTGGATGTCTTGAGGATATCCCAGACCCCCCAGGTTCTTTCCCTGTCTGCCCAGTCCCTACCCTAACTTGTTGACTGGCCACCTCGTTCCACGATGGTCACCAGAACTCCAGGTTTCAGATCCGTGCTTCAGACAGGAAGCAGCAGCGACCACAGTGGTCCTTTATTTATCAGCGCACAAAAGCCTTCTCTTTGACCAGCTGTGAGGGAGGCCGGAAAAATGGGGATGAGGACTGTAGTCATTAGGTTAGACTGGTAATTCTCAACCAGAAGGGGAGGGTGTTGCCCCCAGGGGACATTTTTGAGTCTTATAACTGGTGGAATGCTACTGGCATCAAATGGGTAGAGACCAGGGATGCTGTCAAAAGTCCTAAAATGCACAGGAGAAGCCCCCCACGACAAATAGCTATCTGGCTCAAAATGTCATTGGTACCCAGGATGCAAAACCCTGAGTTAGGCCAATCATGATGCACTGCCTAGAACTGAGTATGTTGGTGCCCAGCATAAAATAAAGGGCTTTGTGTAGATAACTGACAGCACTCAACATGGCAGTAAATGGCTCCACTGGCAGAAGCCCAGCCCCTGTCTGTATGGCTGGAGTGCTAGGGGAAACATCAGGTAGGAGGTGAGGATGCCAGTAGTCTCCGGGCAAAAGTTGGATATGTTGGGTTTTTAGAAGTTCTCTGTGTTCTCTGAAAGCTAGATGTATGAAGTGTTAATTATCCATATTTGTCTTCTATGAACTAGTTACTACATCCCGGTCATTAATGCTGCCCTTAGTAATTTCTTAAGGAAGTGAATCTTGAATTTATAGCATAACTGAGATCCTTGGGCTACATGACAGCCAGCATGGCCTTTGTTGTTCAGAATATTTGTGTTTTCCAATACTATTTTGAAAAGGTATGACAACAACAGGAGGAAGCATGCTAAACTTTGGGCAGCTGTTCCTTTAGTTTTCCATTAGCTTTTGAAAAATGTCTCTTTCAAGCAGTGTTCATTAAGATTTTAATTTTGCAGTTTGTTCCTTTTTAAGTGACATGCAATTAATTAAGGTTTAATGTGTCATCTATTTTTTGCAATGACATTTTTACTGCCCCCTTTTTGTTCTAGTCAGTTTATAAATTGAATGCCAGCTAATGAGTTCTATCCTGATTTCCAGTTCCAAATAATTACCACTCTTCTAATATGGCTATTCTTTAATGTGTCACAGAATTAAGGGCATTTTGAGACAAGCTCAGGTGAGCTGGGTCTGCCTGGGCCATGGGGCCACTGGGGGCTGCTGGGGCAGGAAAGCCAATAGCCCCCTGTCTGTCTCACTTCACCACATACTGACCAGCCACCGCATGTCAGACACCTGGGTCTGTGGGATGTGAATGCAGAAGCCTCTGCCAGGCCTGGTCCCTGAGGAGCTTGCTGACTAGATAATTGCCCTAGTTCTTCACATTGCTGTGGCAGTGAAAGTATGAGTAATGGGACTTGAAATCCTGAATGATTTTTAACTGTATGTGAGGCTGAGATTGGACCAAGATTAATTGAACAGCAATTCCTTATTAATTTCTATTATGCTACCAAGTTGAAATTTATGAACATTTCATCAAGTTGAGTTGAAGTTTAACTTTGCAATATTAGGAGGAGGCAGTGGGTGGTATGGGGATTTATTAAGGAAGTTACTCATGTAAGGGAGACCGTGAGGATGTCAGAGTCAGGGTTCTCCAGAGAAACAGAACCACTAGGAGGTATATATGAAGAGATTTATTCTAAGGACTTAGCTTACAAGATTTTCAGGATTGGTAAGCCTGAAATCTGTAAGGCAGCCCATTAGGCTGGAAACTTGGGCAGGAGCTATGCCAAAGTCTTGAGGCTGAATTCCTTCCTCCCAGGAAACCTCAGTTTGTGATCTTAAAGCCTTCAACTGATTGGACGACACCCACCCTCCTTTACTCAGGCAACTGACTATTGATTTTAACTACATTTACAAAATAGCTTCACAGCACACCTAGATTAGTATTAGACTAAATCTCTGGGTACTGTAGCCTGTCTGTTTTGACACAGAACATGGACAGAGGAAGAGGCCCATCCTGTGGGGTGGTGGGAATTGCACAGGGCTGAGGGTCAGGAGACACCCTGAGACCTCTTTTACTGGTGTCGAGGCCCCACGCAGGTTCCTTGGCCATTGGGACTACTGTCTGTTCTGTAACAAACTTTATTCAGTGCACACCTCCTGCCAGCCAGGATGATATGTACTGAGGAAACATAAACGAGTAAGATGTGGCCTCTGTCCTGCAGAAGCCCACAGTCTGCTGAAGACGACAGATGCACGACTGACCAACCACCCAGTGTAAGTGAGGAGGCACACATTCCCTGAAAAATAGGAGCCATAGCAGTCCTCATGAAAGGTCTGTGAGGAAAACGGGACCCCAAATGCTTGGCAAGCGATCATCACTGTTAGTATTTTTAGAACATTCTAGGAGCATCATTCAAGTGTCTGCAATGCATCTTTGTTGTCTGATCATCTCTCCATTGCCAGAAAGCCATGAAAACTTACTCCTTAAAAAAATCCCATGATTTAGGTGCTGAGTTCAGACAGTTTTACTTAGGAAAGATAAGCCATTAAGTGGAGCTTTGAAAGGTGGGTTGTGTTATAATAGTAAGTGGGGAGGGTGAATGTCCTATGCAGGCTCATCCAGGTGGCCCAGCTCCAGCCTTAAGCCTGTTAGGTTTTAAAAGTTTTCCCTTCCGTCCATTTCACTGTCTTTTGTTTCCTGCTGTTGGACCAGAGAAGTTCTTATTGCATCTTCCCAACCCTGTTTGTGTTTTGTGTTCTTCAGGGGCAGATGTCCATGCCAGAGACCCCCGCCGCGGGATGTCGCCTCAGGAGTGGGCCGCTTACACCGGCCGGTTGGAAGCCGTTTGCCTCATCCAGAGGCTGCTGGAACGACCCTGCCCAGAGCAGTTTGGGGAAAAGTACAAGCCAGAGCTGCCACCGGCCCCCGATACGGTTCTGAAGACCACAGGCTCCAAAACCTGCTTGCAGCGGCTCACTGAGTTTGTGCGGTCCATGCTGGCCTCCCGCCCGCGCCCAGGCCTGGAGGATGGAGGGGCCCTGGACCACATGGTCCGGATGACCACGAGCCTCTACAGCCCTGCCGTGGCCATCGTCTGCCAGACCGTGTGCCCCGAGAGCCCCCCCTGCGTGGGGAAGAGGCGGCTGGCGGTACAGGAAATCCTGGAGGCTCGCGGGAGGCCAGACACGCGTGCCCAGGAGAGGGACAAGGTGGGAGGCACTGAGCAGCAATCCCGGACATCCCAAACTGGGGTGCTCTCCACAGCGGGGGCCCCTGGAGCCAGCCTGCCGTCTCCCCAGCTGCCAGGTGCCCCGAGGAAGGCCAGCCTCCTGCCGCTGCTGAGGAGGAGCAGCGTGCGGCCCGGCGTGGTCATCCCCCGAGTGCGCATCAGCAAGGCGCCCGCGCCCACCTTCCAGCCCGAGCGGGCGGCCGCCAAGGGCAGCACCAAGGACAGCGCCCATCTGCAGCTCCCCAAGTGGCGGTACAAGGAGGCCAAGGAGGAGAGGCGGAGGGCGGAGGAGGCGGGGAAGCAGCGCGAGGCCGCGGCGCCCAGGGAGAGGCGGGCGCCGCCCTGGAGGAAAAGGACGTGAGGGAAGCGCAGGCACGTGCGGTTCGGGGAGTGGCCCGGGCCCTGCGCACGCGCGCTTGGAGCCCAGAGGCGGGGCCAGGCCGCGCACCCCTCCTCCCCTGCGCCATTCGGCACCCCCATCCGGCTCCCCCGGGGCTCCCAAGGCAGCTCACGCGTGTTCAGGCTGTTCAGAACCCCAGGGGATGCAGCACAGCACAAATCGATTTGCCTGAGACCAGTTCCCCAGCAATCAATACACCCAGGGGGCAATTTGCCAAAAAGTCTACTGTTAGACCTCAATTAAGAAACTTTTAAGATCAATTTATCAAAGGGCATTTTCTGTATAATTTTGTATTTTTAATCATAAACATGTGCAGCATTTTACTGGTGATGGGGCTCTTTGTATTTAAGAGTTTTAATACATTTGTCTGAAAACCCTTTGTTTAAAATACTGTTTCTAGCAATAATTATTCTTGGAATCTCTATGATTTCATACAGCATTTGTGGACTTCTCGCCTTCCTCATTGTGGGTGTGCATAAGTATGGTGTGTTCTGATCGGTTTGATTAAGTGATGCCGAATATTTGTGTCTGTGTGATGGAAGCATTTACTTTTACTCCCAAATGATTGAGACAAGGGAATCAAATTTCCTTGTATCTTTATTTCTAAATCTCTCTGATCCATATAGTCATAATAACAGAAAAACCTGGCACTGTGAAGCCATGTGCATAGAGAAGCACATATTTATTGCTAGAACTAATCTCATTTTAAACAAGGGATTTTAATAAACTGGATACAAAGTATTTAGCATATTCAAAAATAGACAGTAAAAAGGGGCAAGTCTAATAAAATTATTACTAGAAATACAAAATTAAGCCATGTGCTCTTAGATAAATTGAATTCAGGTATCCTTAAAAATGTAAAAAAGATGTGAAACTAAGGAACCCAGAGTGACTCAAGCTACTGAAACGGAAGGCAGTATTTTCCAAGAAACAAGGACTAGAACTGAATAGTAAGCAAATTCGTTACAGGCAACTTCTCCTGGAGTAGGCTGGGCAGCTGCCTCCTTCAAACTCTATTCAAAGATTCCCTGGTGTGGAATTACTATTATTTTTCCTTTGATGACTGCCTGCGGTATTGAGTTCATCCTCATGCCAACTTTGTAGAACGTCCAAGATGTGGGGACTTCAGCAGAGCATGTACGTGGTTTGCCCTGGGCCCTGAGCTCTCAGCAGGAGTTTTCTGTCCATACTTTTTATTGCCAAAGCCCTGAGAAGTTCTGATGAATCTCTGGCCATCTGGGTTGTAGAGTATCTATCACATAGGCACTACTGACAGCACTTTATTTAAATATTATCCTACTTGGAAGCCATAGATTTAAAATCACTACAGGCTGATTGGGAAGCTCTGTATATAACCCTGGGTTTGCATGTCAAATCGTGCTCCCTGGCCAAGCTGGGACGAGGGCCTAGCTGTCTCATGACGTGGGAGGGGGATGGCACTAGCCTCTCCCTACTCCCCCCCACTCACCACCACCACACCTTGAATAATTGGGGTCTCGCACTCACCTCCCCCAAAATTTCAATAATCAGGCCATGAAGCTGCACTCAAAATGATGGCAGATAGATGTGCTAATGATACAGTATTTAAAGTCAGATTTCAGTGCATGCCTCCTTTGCCCTCGAAAGGCACAGGAGGGATGGCCCCACGTCTGGACTCCTTTCGTGGTCACTGACACTAGTCAGCTGCAAGTCACCCTTGTACCCGAATCAGGATTGGTCGGGTCCCCTGAGATGAGATGAGGCTGGTCCCTACGGTGGAGAGAAACCCCCAGTCTTCCTGACAGTCTAATCCAGCATCTTTTCAGATCATTTTTCATGTCTCTGTATTTTCATTGCTTTGAACAGCTGGCTGCATTTTCTCACTGAGGGGTCACCCTCTGCTCCCTCTCCTCTGGTGTTGGTTGAGGGCAGTGACCCCCTTCTCTCCACATGGCCCCTTGGCTTTGTCACTACATTTACTCCCTATTGTCCCCTTCACTCCTTTCTTCTCCCTCCCCTGCCTTTGCCTCCTGTGACTATTTTCTTCTCCAGATTTGGCTAAATGCCTTGATCATCACCACTATTCTGAGGTCCAAAAGGGCCAGAAAAGCTAAGGTGATCATGAGAGCACCGTGGCATTCTTGTTGAATTACCACATCATGACGCCAAACACCCAAGATGAACGAATGGTATGTTTCCCGCTTCCGCCCAGGGGGATTGGATGTTGGGCACAGCCTGCTTTCCCCACCCCACACCGTTTCCTTTTTAAGGGAGGGACACCCAGTTTGCTCTCCGCATAGATGACAGTGTCGCCCTGCTGTACCAAGTGGAGAGGGTCCAGAGTCTGCTTGCACCCCTGGTGTGTATTAACTGTAAATAGTGAATTTTAAGTTGACAGGTACCTTCTCAGGGATTTATATAGTTAGGGGAAAGATGATAAGTATATTTTACTACTTCTCAGCATTTCACTTAAGTATGATTAAACTAGACAGAAGAAATTGTTCTAAGACAATCTCAGTGCTGCTGTTTTAGGGAGATGCTGGAAATCACCCCTCAGTTGAGATGTCCTGGTTGTGGGAAACCCAGGGCTCTGGCAGCTGAAATGACTTTGGGGGGGATGTGAAATCACTTCAGTGTCTCTCGGTTGCCTCTTGCAGATATGAAGCCTTGCATTAAAAAAAAAATTCCACCTCTTGTTAAGTAGTAGAGGCTGTGATAACACAGATGGGCCATTCATCAACTTTACCTCTGGAACTGGTTGCTCCCCATCTGATACTGAGTGTGTGGTGTGAGGATGAAACAATTTTCTGCACTTGCTTAAGTGAGTCAAGTGTGCCGCAGGCAACCCAGCGCCAAGCTCCCTGCTGGAAGGGAGGGGGAAGCGACGAGGAATTCGTGTGGGGTGGCCAGGTGTTCAGAGGCCATGGCTTTCCTCATCTTTGGCTGCCCTGGAAAAGTGTATCACATAACATTATGGACCTTTGTTCCTTTTTGAGTCTCCTGCCAACATGCTCCTGGCAGCACCACATGCCTCAGGAACATGAAGATGGAAAACTGCAAGACCCGTGTCATTTCGCCTTCAGGAGGCACCCCTCAGGTGCAAGGCCCATTCTGCTTGGGACAGAGATGTCCTAATGTCAGTTGGGAAATGGGATTTGTGGGTGCAGAGGGGCCGTTCCAGGCTGCCTTGCCACCTCCTTCAGTGGTGTCAGTGGGCAGCAGGCTCTGGAAGTCCAGCATCTGAGTGGAGACAAATTGAGATGGAATCCCATAAGGTGGAGCCAGACCCCAGTCCTGAAATGGAGGCAAAGCCCCCTGTGTTCTGGGAAGGGTCGTGGCTGCTGGCTCCCTAGGGAGGAGGAGAGCATGTCTGAGAAGCGAACAAGTGAGCCAAGACTAAGAAGTGACTGTGATGTGTCTCTTGCAGCCTCTGGCAAGAGCGCTGTATTCCCCGCTCCCCCACCCTGACCTTGTCCACACTACAGTGAGAGACCTTTGAAAAACAATTTCCCTAAGTTTGCTCAGTGAAATGAATTCTAGCCCTGCTGGCAGTCAGGTGTTCGCTTTCCCCAGGAGATTCATGCTTGCTCACTTCCCACCCTAATATAACACGGTTGGTTACTCCCTGTATGTTGAGATTTATCATGAACAATAAGCTACTAGTCACAATGTCTTTCATGTGAAAACGTGCTAGCACTTTTTATTTTTACAGCATTTAGGGGAATTTGAACACACTACCCAAGTATTTGCTTTTTGTCCCACTGTGGTTGACATTTGGATTCTGCACCATCTGCGGATGCTCCGCACACAGAAATCCCTGCAACCCTGTTCCCATGTGCCTGGTCCTCAGCTTCCCCTGCGGCGGACGACACTCACACCTTCAGCTGGGCAGCTGCCTGGAAGGCCACACTCTTCTAGGGAGGAAGGATGGAAGAGTGGTCACAGCCGACCTACACCACCGCAAAGTCACATTAATGACAACTGCGGTCAGGCAAATAATCAGCACAGGGGGAATGCTGTTAGCCACAAAGAACTTAAAACAAAACAGCTCTTGCCGAAATGTGATGGCTGTCTTAGACATTTAGAACTGATTTCATACGTCTGTGCAACTCCTGAGTCAGCCACTTATTTCTGTGCCCTTGAATTCACATTCTCCTTCATTAACATTTAAGTGGCTAAAAAAAATTCCTCTGGAGGTTGTTTTTTGAAAAAACAGGGGAAAAAAAAAAACCCTCGCCATTCTCTGAACTGCTTTAACTAATTTTCAAATGACCCTGTTGAACAGCAGCGCTGCGGACACAGCTCCTGCCTCTGACCTGGCCTGAAAGAAGAGTCGTGAGAGGCTCAGCCCCGGTGCTTGGACGGCCCCTGCTGCGAGCTGTGCCAAAGCAGAGTGTGATGTGGTGCAAGTGTGCACACAAGCATGTGCGTGCCCCCCAAACCCTCGGATGAACTGGAGACCAGAGTTTGTGCTCACACAGGTCCCTGCTGCTGTGGCAGCTTTGCAGAGACTCCTGGGGGGAGTGTTGTATGTGGTCAGGTGTGGCCTGCTTTGCAGTGTGTTCAGGAGGACTGACAGCACAGGACCCACGGGGAGCACTCTGTCCAGTGTGGCATGTAACAGCCCATGTGTCCTAACCTTGGTGTTGCAGTGGTATCCGCCTGCTGGCTCTCCTGGGAGCTCCTTGACAAGGTTCTTTGGGCGTCTCTCTCCTGTGAAGTACATCCTCGGCATTGAGAGGTGGAATCGGAGGGGGCTCGGGAGCTGCAGCAGGCATCACCCGTGGTCACAGAGTGGGGGCTGAATTCCTTGAAATTTTGGTGCCAGGTTATCCACAGAATCCACATCTTACCCCGAGGAAGCCCCAGGAGTAAACGTAGTCAGCCTAAGTATTAGACATTCTAATTACTCAAAGCTAACACAATTTGGCTTTTGACAGAATTGTCTCATCATCCTGTGGCAACTTTACATTGTTTTTAAGGAGAATGTAGGAAAGAAATAAAAATGAAGCTGGCTGCTCCAGGTCGGGCAGAGGCCCGTGTTGACCTGGTGCTTTATGAAGGTTTGGGAGGTGGCATCAAAGCCCTTCAGTGCTGATGTTTGAGCAGAAGTTCACGAGGCTGGTTTGGAACTGCACAGCTACGCAGAACTGGATGAAAACCGTGAAAGGGTTGCTATGAAACCAGAGATGTTTCCAGCAACCCTGCGAGCCTTTGGGGCAACCTAAGGAATGCGAATGATATGCCCATTCGTTTGAACAGGACAAGCTAATCTCATTGGAATGCTCTTCATTCAGGTCATTGTTCTGCCTGGCATTGACTGGGTGTCTGAGGATGTGTGTGTGTACCAGTGGCGACTTGATGACAGTCTAAGAATTGACAGCACAGAATGCCAGGGTTGAAGTTATGTCATCTTGGTATAAGCTGTTTTCTGAATGTAAAGCTATTTTCAATGCCATTTCTAAAAATGGGTATTGTAAAAATGTGACTATGAATAGAATTGTGTAAATTTCATAGTATTTAATTTTGAGGTGAGTTTTGTTATAGTTTATATAAGAGAAACTTTCCTATTTAGACCTCAGGGCTATTTTGGGACCCACAAATCAATGTGACCTCCAGCAGCTTCAATTCTTAATAGCCAAAAGGTTAATAAATCTTTAAGTTAAATATGATATATTATTCAGCAGAAAGAATGTGTCTTTCCCATTTAACTTCTAACAAATTCTGTATCTAATATTTAAAAAGCACAAAGGATGCAATATAAAAATGCAGAAACTGTGACCACA